AAATAGATTTATGGTCATTGTAAAAATGTTTTCAAAGTGTACTTTTTGGGTGCAGTTATTGAGGACTGTCCATCACGTTCACTGGTGATGGGCTGGATCATTGGGGCTGCTCATCGCTTCCTAGTTGCAGTTGTATTTCCATAGTTGAGTGCCCTGGGTTTCAGGGCCCCTAGTGTGCTCTATAGAACTACTTAAAGTGAAGTTGAACCATAAAAAAAACCCACGGACGTGAGATTTTATGACAAATGAGACCCTTTTGGTCTGTTCTGTCATACCGTCTTCTCTCTGCCTGTCATTGTTACTGTACACTGAGCTTCCCTTGTTCAGCTCAGCGTACATTTATGGCATGGCTCTGTGTCGTGATTATGTGACTCTTGTGTGCATGTGCGGGAGTGAGGACTTTGTGACCCAGACAATCAAGTGGCTGTAATAGCCTGAACATGGAAGGAAGCACCCGTCACCAATGTAAGCACTAACAGAGCAGCATTGTAGGAGATTGTTTGATAAGTTAGTCTGCCAAAATGTGCTACGGTGCTGTGTATACCAGCACATTTTGGCTAATAGTTCCTGGGGAGGGGGGGCATTAAAAAAAAATTGTGAATTTTAATTCTGCTTTAAGGTGGACCTAAACTTAAAAACGGAAGATTTGTTATGTTACAAGGAACCTCTAGAAATGTTAAGTGCATTTACGTGCCCTGAAAAATTAACCTTCCTTTTTCATTTTTTTCCCTTAAAAATAGCAGTGAACTTTCTGCTTTGTGAATGTGCTTAGGTACTCTTCTGCCTACAGTCACATAGCTGTTTATCTGTTGAGTGAGATAAGTGTGGATTCAAGTCTCAGGGGATTTGAAGTGACATTTGGTGATGTCATTACTATACTGCTTGCTGAAGAGGAATCTGTATCTGAGGACTTGCACAGCATGCATCTTCCTGCTTCTACTTCATTGATTCTGCGGATCTTTGCTTGTTCCACTTGCTGTTGCTTCTTATCAGATATCAGTTATCAGATCATCAGTTAACAGGGGGGCAGTTCTGATGTGTGGCAGCAAAATGCATAGTAAGTTAGCAATGGGGAAAATACCAGCAGGATGTATGCTACAGGCCATTCTGGTGACTAGTCTTTTGTCTTCTGCTTGTGGGGTAGTTGAGCGGTGTGGCAGCAGTAATGACACCGAAGTTCAGGATGCACAAAAAGCAATGTATTGAGAAACTTATTAAGCTGTTACAACAGCCTGGTGGAGTTGAACACCCTTCTGGGAACCCACAGTCAATGCAGCGGAGAGTCAGTTGTGGTAGGCCCGAGCTGAAGAGAGCTCTTGCCAAGGAAGGTGGAGTCAGTCATGGCTTGTTCAACCCAAGAGGGAGCTTGTGGAAGTATAGGTGTACGCCCTACTCTTTCCTTACTCCTCTGGAACATTTCCCTACTGCCAGTACTGTCCCTGACAGACGGGTGAGCTTTCTATACATCAGCTGCTTCGCAAATGCGTGCCAACACCTGGGGGCAGGGACTTAAAAAGACTCTGCTTGACCCAAGATGGCCACCAGGATCACCTGGATGCAGCATAGCCAATGGAATGCTGCTCCAGGAGACCAAGGAAATCGTAGAGAAACTAGGTTTCTCTTCATTTTCTCTCCATCTGCAGTACTGCTCCAGTCAAGTGCCACCTACAGTGGAGGAAACGGACTGCACCTGCCTACATGCTTGTCCTATTTTTGCACAAATTTCAGAGTTCATGTATGATGTGTGCTGTCACCTGATTCCTGCATTAAAGCCCAGCACTAATATTAAAAAATAATTTGCCAAGCAAGTGCTTAAATAAATAAAGCTGATATCGTTGCAATATTTACCCTCTTCTTCCCCAGCAGTCTCACCCCTCTGTGGTCCAGAGTCAGTCATCTTGCAAGCTGAATTGTACCCAGCATTTTAGGGGGATTAGGTGTCTCCATGGGTGTTCTGGAAAGCTGGCCAGTAAACTGTGAAACTCCTTTTCAAAAGGAAAATTATTTTCTGCAGTCTTTGTTTCTTTTTATTTATTTTTTTTTAAATCATATCCTCCCATCTAGAGCACTACAACAGGTTTGTTGAATAGTTCTGCTACTGATACACATGCTCCATCATACTCAGAAGTGCTGGAAAATTCTATGTACATATTCACTTTAAAGTGGTACTAAATGCAAAATAAAAAATTACATATATGAAGTGGTCTGCCACTAAAATCAACACAGCAGTTTACCTGTTGATCCTTTTGTTAGTTTTCAACTTCTTTTATCAGACCAAACTGTCCAGCACATATAAGTGGAAGTTATAGGGTTCAGACGATCCATTGAACACTGACAGGGGTGCTTACAGTGATCTGCTTTTATTCATTTATGTAAAACCCCCCCTACCCCAAAAGGAAAAAAACAGTTTATGTAACTGAATAAAGTGTTATCTAGAGTTGGGCATTATTTTGTTATCCACTGATGGAAAGTCCATCTAAATCTACTGGTCCATTAAACACCTATCTCTCCAGATATTGCTGCTGTTCTAGATTGGTTTCTCCATTGCCCCTATGTAGATAGAGGAGCCACACTAAGACAGGCCATAGATGATGCGATTTTCTTTGGTTTAATCACCTGTCACCTGCCATATAAGGAAATGATGGACAAGTGACTGCTCTCTCGTTCTGGGAGGACGTCATATGAGGAGCCGATGACATAGGCACTATCATGTGATCAGCTGTGCCCAACCACAGCTGATCGCATGTAAACAGAAAATGCCAGTTATCGGCAGTCCTCTCCTCACGTTGACAACACGTGAGCAGAAGAGAGCCGGTAAGCGGCATTCCTCAGAGGGGACATATTCACTTATAATCAGAGCACTTATCATCAGTGTAGCCCCATCAGTGCCACCTGTTAGTGCCCATAATTACCACCTGTTTATGCCCAACAATGCCACATACCAGTGCCCATCAGTGCACATCAATGGCACATATCAGTTGACATCTATACTACATATCAGTGCCCATCAGAGCTGCCTTTCAGTGCTGCCTATCAGTGCCAGTCAGTAAAGCCTATCAGTGCCTCCTATCAGTGCCATACATGAGTGCTGCCTTTCAGTGCCCATCAGTGATGCCTGTCAATACCCACCAGTGATGCCTGCCAATGCCCATGGGTGCCACCTATCAGTGCCCATCAGTGCCGCCTATCAGTGCCCATCAGTGCAGCCTATCAGTGCCCATCACTGCCTTCTCATTAGCGCACATCATTGAAGGAGAAAAAGTAATTATTTACAAAATTTTACGACAGAAACTAAGAAAAAACAATTTTTTTCAAAATTTTCAAAATGTTCAGTCTTTTTAGCAAAAAAAATAAAAACCCAGTGGTGATTAAATACCACCAAAAGAAATCCAAAAAAAACAACAACGCTCAAATCGTCATGATGACTAGGGGTACTGTGACTGTCATTTACTGAGGTGTGGCCTTGAAAGTGCAGGTAAACTTGGTACTGGTGAAGAAAAGCAAAAACAGGGCTCAATCTCTTCGTGCATTACTGTGGTGAATCACGAGTTTATTGAAATGCATGAAAATGCATACTCACAAAAACCAAAGGAGATCAAAACAGAGACAAAGAGCAAGTGGTGATGGTCCCAAATGACAGGAGGCTCTTCATGAAGCAGGGTGACGCGTTTGGGGAGACGTACTCCCTTCTTCAAAGCTGAAATATAAAGGAGGAGCAGCAGGCGTATATTTTAGCTCTGAAGAAGGGAGTACGTCTCCCGAAACGCGTCAGCCTACTTCATCAAGAGTCTCCCATCATTTGGGACCGTCACCACTGACGCTTTGTCTCTGTTTTGATATCCTTTGGTTTGTGAGTATGCACTTTCATGCATTTCAATAAACTCGTGATTCACCATGGTAATGCACGAAGAGAGTGTGCCCTGTTTTTGCTTTTCTTCACCACCAAAAGAAAGTTCTATCTGTCTCAAAAAAATTATAAAAAGTTTGCTTTACTACAGTGTTGCATGACCATGCAATTGTCATTCAAAGTGCGACAGCACTGAAAGCTGAAAATTGGCCTGGGCAGGAAGGGGGTAAAAGTGCCCAGTAGGCAAGTGGTTAATAGTGTTTAATATCCCTGCCTTATTGGAGTCTAGCTAAATTCTCCCCTAATATAGTATTAATCAAAGGAGATTTAGGGTCTAATGTCTAATGCAGCAGGGTGTTTTTTTCATTCTTTCTCCCCTTTCTGGAGGCTTCAGTTAAATAAAGCTCTATAAAATACACATGGCAAAAGATGTAGAGATAATATGGAGAAAACTAACAAAGAAACTGGCACTGAATAAGTCTTAAGTGTCTCAGGTTTTATTAATATTTTTTAGACTTCCTGATATACTTTTATCAGTCAGTTTGTTGTTCCTGAATTAAACATAAAAAAGATATGAAACTAAAAAAGCAAATAGTAACAAATAGGACTGTATGAACCAATATTTCTCATAAAAAGTAGGTAGCACAGGGTGTATGTATACACTAGTTTACCAGACACCTTGCCAGAACAGCCCTGGAGCCCAAAAACTCCCTATACAAAAAACAACTTTCTGAAAATCGGAGTATAGGCACACCCAAGCCACATTGTGCATGACAGTAACTGGATCACTTGCACTGTACTAGATGATTACACTGCAGGATATTGCAGGGGGCCTGCCTATGCTCTGACTTAAAGCGAACCTCCACCCAAAAGGGGAAGTTCCGCTTTAAAGACTGGTCCCCCGCTCCCCATTAAGGATTGGCACCTTTGGGGAATGGGTACCCAAGATTGACAGGTACCTACTCCCACTTCCGGTGCGATTGCCTGTCCTCCTACCCTCCCTCCCTGTAGTCTTCTGGGACATGTGACAGGTCCCAGAAGACTATGGGGCCATTCAGGAAGCGCAACGCTACTCGCGCATGCGCAGTGGGTACCTGGCTGTGAAGCTGCCACAGCCGGGTGCCCACACTGAAGATACTGGCACCTGGAACACCAGGTGGCTGGTGAAACGGGCTGCAGAGAGGACACAGTGGGATTGTGGGACAGGTGAGTGGCTGTTTTTTAAAAGTCAGCAGCTACAATGTAGCTGCTGATTTTTATCTTTTTACAGTGTGAGTGGAACTCCGCTTTAAGGAAATCCAACACATGCAAAGAAAAAAAAGGAGAGAACCAGGGGAAAGGGAACCCACTGGTCTAGGGAACCCTAGGGAACCCACCCCTCCACTACCAACAGAAAGATAAAACAAAAGACAACGTGGTCATGCAGAAGGACAGCCCACGCTCCGAAGTCCCGCACCTCAAATAGTATTTCATTTTTATCCCTATTTTCCCAACCCCCCCCCCCCCTCCCCTTGCCCACTCCCTTTACTGCTGTCTACACAGAGGTCAGGGGTTCTGCATCCTCCTAGAGCAAAACGAAAACTGCTCCTACAAGCTTTAACCAGCGCTCTGCTGAACACTGATAGAAGTCACAAGACTGCTCTAACTGCTGAAGAGAAAAGGTATTTAGCAGTTTATATTTACTAAAATAATTGTACTTCCATGTTCTGTGTACTGTGGGAGACCAGATATATAGAATGCAGGGTCCTGGGTTTAATAACACATTAACAGACCATACAGGCATGTTGCAAATGTATGGTCCTGACGAAGCTGAGTGAGATACGCCCATCGGTGAAACGCGTTGACGTCATACGTCAGATACGTCACTTCCGGTCATGCGCACTAGGTGGAACGCACGCTGACCCATTAGGAGGAAGCCATCTTCACATGCCATGAGGCAAGCCTAAGCAGCACAGGCGCCAAGAAGGGGCTGGAACCCGCGGTATATCGGCGGATGTCAGCGGTGGTTCCTTGGCCTCTTTTGGCCTTGTATGGCAATACCTATGAAGGACATCCTTTCCGTTCCTATTATCCAGTGCACAGGTGGTGAGTGGACTGTTACAGGACATTAGATATATGGTCCTCTGTCATTATATGACCTATATATCCTACATAGAGTGTAAGCTCTGTCAGTGACTCTTCCACATATTGTTTGTTTTACTACAGGATGGGGACATCATGGTGCTTTTTATGGGAAACAAGACATACCACATGCATTTCAACAGGCAGAAGATCTTCTGGGATGTGTCTTGTTTTCCTTACAGAAAGTGGTGTGTAGTCCACATGTAGTGGTGAAGAAACCATTTCAAGCAGAGTGCTGCTTTTTGCATCCTTTCTTCCATCCTGGGAATAAATGGGGCATATTCTCATTTAAGAGCTCTAGGAAACAGCTGTTTATACAGATGAATGGGCCCCAACCACTTGTGCCGGCACAGGAATATATTGCATTATACATATGACATTTTTGTCTTTTTTCATACAGGCCTGTGGCATATTGTTCTCCTCTTGACGCATTTTGTGCTTGCTGAATTGCATACATGTGATATCCGTATCCATAGTATAATTTTTGGATTCCCTATTTGGGACATAACCATTAAGGCAATAGCCGTATTCTCATATTATAACATGTATTATGGTATACCTATGGTATAATTTTTGGATACACCTCCGTTGGGAAGTGTTCACCTATGTGTCTGTGTCTCAGGGACATTAGACTCTTGTAGTCATTTTCTCTGTTGCACATGCATTTAGACCGGTCTTGGTGTTATTTTAATGGTTTTAGGTCTGTGTGTATTGTCTCATACTGAGGTGATGGTAAACCAGGGCGACTGCCCATATGTCATATTTATAAGTGTAATAAAAAGCATAATTTTTGGAAATTTTTCTGAGTGTCACATTCTGTTCATAATGTAGCCGCTTTTCTGTGAATTCCTTTTCACAAATCCTCCTTTTTATATGCCTTTTTGGCTACTGAATGGAGACCAAATATTGGGTGATACGATAATTTAATTTTATAACCTCTCAATAATTATCTTTAGCATATCTGTAAATTTACCACCCACTCTACACATCAGCCAAAGCAGAAACGAAAAGGGGAAATGAGATCTTATATGGTGACCTGTATATCACTGGAGGTGCCAGTAGGTGGCACTGTGTGGAGATGGGAGATACCTGAGGTCACCTCATCTATATATTGTCCCCACAGATAGCTCCGCCCTGTTATCTGTGAGGTAATTGTGTAGTTGCCTTAGTACTTATAGACATTCTGAGGAATTCATAAAAGGGGGTCATATCCGGTGTATGGAGCAGCAGCCATTGTTCCAGTACATACCTCAGGTCTGTTATCTATGAGGTAGGTGCGTAGCTGCCATTGCACCTCTAGCTGTTTCAGGCCTGTGGAGGTGATTGTATAGTAGCCACCTCAGATCTACTGTAAATACCTCAGTTTTGTTCTCTGTGAGGTAGCTAATGTGCCCTTATATACCTTCAGGCCCCACTCACACATAGCACAGGGTGAACCTGCTTTTTGTTCACATGAATGGGCTATGCTATGAATGAAAAATGCAACAAAGATGCTGTGAGCCATTTTCAGGCAGTTTTTTACCCATTGTCTTGGCGTGTATGTTGCACACCTGCTGGCGCCCTTTGGGGTGACTTTAGCAATTATTTGCACTACAAGCATGACACGTGTTTTTCACACACGTTTCTGCATGTTACTGCGTGCATTTCTGGAATTCACAGGTGTAAATGGGGCCTTAGGCCTGTTATCTGTGAGGTAAGTGAGTAGCAGCCATTGTTCAGGTACATTCCCTCAGCTTGGTTACCTGTGAGGTACAGCAGATGAGTAGCAGCCATTATACATCTACATACCAGGGGCGGACTGACAACTTATGGGGCCCCCGGGCAATAGGGGATCATGGGGCCCCTGTGTCCTTGCCCAAACACAAAAAAGCCTATGAAAAAGGTATCAGGGGCATCTCATGGGGCCCCCTACTGACCCCGGGCCCTCGGGCAGTGCCCGAGTTTCCAAATGGTCAGTCCGCCCCTGCTACATACCTCAGTCCTGTTGAGGTAATTGTGTAGCAGCCTTTGCAACTGTATTCTTCTGACACAATTATTTCTGATAGGCTAAGTTTACCTTTCCACTTAGGGTCTGTTCACACTAAAGTGCAGTGTGGGAAAGGCATGTTCCGTGCGCATTTCCCGCAATTCAAGTGAACTGTCCTTGAAAGTGTATGTGGGTGCCAATGAATTGTTAATGGACACTCAAAATGCATCCCATAAGCGCAGTGTGTTTGTGGCCACCAAATTGTGTGATACCGTAGTACAATGCAGTATGGAGCACTGCTTACACTATTTTTTTGCATTCCAATGCATTTTCAGCCCATTTATATGGGTTGTCAAAGCTGGACCATGAGGGAGCATAAAGGAAAGTGTTCATTCCAGTGTCAACCAACCCTAAGCCCTGGTTCACATCTGTGCGGTTGTGTGGGCCGCGATTTGCGCAGGCACGAGAACCGATTAATTTGAATGGACTCCCGTGCCCCGAGACATGCAGGGAAGAAGTCCCTGCACTACTTGGGAAATTGCAGCCAGCACAGGAACCAAGAGTCCCAGTATGGTTGCGATTTCCAGTACGGGCGGCATGACATTAGATTAATGGCACCCACGTGCGGGTCCCGCATTCCTCTGTGTGGTTGGTGCGGCTGCATGTATTTGTTCAGGTCCCGCAGCAGCACCACCCGCACAGATGTGAACCAGGGGTAAAATTACCCATGCAATCAAGCATCCCCAGTAGTTTAAAAAACACTTCAGCGCTTCAGGAACAAACACGCATTGTGCTCTCTCCTTCAGTTGAACACAGAGCTCAGCCTCTGCTGCGACATTGGGAGAGAGTGCATGTGTGGGTTTTGAACAAACCAGAGCACTCGTTCCTGTGGTGCTGGGGGTACACACCCAATGCATAGTGTGTCTTTCTATATAGAGGGATGGGGAGGCCATTCACACTAAGAGTGTTTCTGACAGGCGTGGGTGTGCATGGCCTACGGGTATGACATTTAAAAGAAACTTCTTTTTACAAAGCAAAAAACTGTTATTTTAATCTACTGGTGATGTTTGAATGCATTAGCTTTAGCTGCATTGTTTTTCCTTTGCTTTTATTTCCTCTACTTGAAGTGACCTCACTAGAATGTGTTTGTTATGAAGGGATAGTATTTAGTGCACCATCTTGGTGCCACAGTGTGTTTGTGGCCACCACATTGCATGATACCACAGTCCAATGCAGTTTGGTGCAGTGTGATCTGAAAAAAGAAGTGATTGCCCTACTTTTTCTGCTTTCCAATCACTTTGCAGCCCATTCATAAGGGTTGTCAGAGCTGGACCATAAGGGAGCGCAAAGGAACTTGTTTGTTCCAGTGTCAAATGACCCTAGATCAGTGTAACTATTTATATACCATACTTAGCTGATGCCCCTGGAAGCTGGAAATCACTGAAGCAAACACCTGTACAGCAGAGATCTCCACTTGCTTCTGGATCCTGTGCTGAGCAGATGCCCTGCTGCATTCTACACATAGGAGGTTGGCTGCACGGCATGGGTGCCATTTAGAGAATGCTTTGCATTTTCTGAATGAATGCAACTGTTCTCTTACTGGACAAGGTGGAAAATGGGACATCACAACCCCACCTCTCCACTTAGTCCAATCAGAGAACACATTACATTCATTCTGAAAAATGCAAAGCATTCTCTGAATGCTGTGCATGCTGAGCAGTTGAACTGCTATGTCCAGAATATAGCAGGGCAGCCGCCCAGCACGGTGAAGAAGCAAGTGGAGATCATTGGAGTAGTGATTACTACTTCATTGATTTCTAGCTTCCAGGGGCATCGGCCGGGTATAGTATATGCATAGTTCCATTGGTCCAAGCTAAGCCAATCTTTTACTAGTTGTGGACTTTAAGCATGCTACACATGCCCAAAAAAACTTAATCATTCTACACAGGGCATGTGTAGAGTCCAGTGTATCATCATTGTAGGCTGTGATTAACCTCTTCATGCCAAGCGTACGCAAATATGTGGCCAAATCAACAGTTTGGTACATTCTGAGGAAAGAAGAATGCACTGGTGAGCTCAGCAACATAACAAGGCATGGACATCCATGGAAGACAACAGTGGTGGATGATCACA